ATCCACTTCTCCTCAAATTAGCCCTCAAGCCTCTATTTGAAAACCAAGAAACAGGTCGCTACCCCAACGCCTACAGTATGCACGATCTCGGTTCCTCCTATCCTAATGCTACTGGTCACTCCGCTGGGAACGATGAAGAAATGCCATTGGAAGAGTGCGGAAACATGCTTATCATGTCCCTTTCTTACTTCCGCGCTACCAATGATACAAAATTCTTAAATGATCATTATGAAATTTTGGATCAGTGGACACAATACCTGATTGCTTCTGCGCTGATCCCGGCGAATCAACTCAGCACAGATGATTTTGCCGGTAAACTGGCAAATCAGACAAATCTGGCATTAAAGGGTATCATTGGGATTAAAGCGATGGCGGAAATTGCTTCTTTGACCTTTCATTCTAGTGTGTCGACAAATTACAGCTCCATTGCTCAGGAATATGTGGAAAAGTGGACAAATCTCGCAGTTGTCAATTCCACGAGTTCTTCCAGTTCTTCACCGATGCTTGCCCATACATCACTCAATTATGCTAATTCTTCATCCTATTCTCTCCTTTATAATCTCTTCCCAGATAAACTCCTCTCTCTGAATCTCATCCCTCAATCTATCTACGACATGCAATCTGCCTTCTACCCTTCAGTGACGAATACCTACGGTGTTCCACTAGACTCGAGGCACGAATGGACGAAAAGTGATTGGATTATTTGGTGTGCTTCTATTGCATCGGATCAAACGAAGAAGGAAATGATAGGAAATGTTGCAAAGTTTGTGGGAATGAGTGAATCTGGAGTAGCGTTGACAGATTTTTATGATACAAAGACAGCTGACTTAGCGGACTTTGGTGCTCATTTTATCGCAAGGCCGGTTGTGGGGAGTCATTTTGCAGGAGTAGCTATGAATAAATTGGGAGTGGAAGTGTAGGTGTGAGGTGATGGAAGAAGGAAGAGCATGATTAGGATTGAGGGATGAGTGATACTGGATGCTAGGAATTCGATTTGTAAGATCTTACTATTTACGGCTTTCTCTTTCTTTTGTATCTTGTTTTGCGAGTTGAAAATCAGCGTGTATCATCTAGATAAGCATTGGAATTGGAATTGGAGCTGGAGAAAACTTGGGATAGTTATTAGGAAACTCACGATTAGACGAGCCGGTATGCCGCAATGTAAAAATATATCAGCGAGCTTCATTCTCGGTTCTTAAATGCTGTCTATATTACGATATGATTATTTGGTCTACTAGTTGCACCCAATAGTTTTAGCCTAGACCTAGACTACCCGAGAATATCCCTAGAGGTATGCCAACCATTACCAGTGCCGAGACCAACATCAGATAAAGTCCTTCCCGAACGTTCAATTTATCCATAACCATGCTTTAAAATCATAGTCCTAAAATTCAAATCCGAACTGTATTTTTGACTAATGATCTGATGATGAAATCGGGAATTAGACACTAATTTCGTTAGTAGATAGCAAAGAATCTCAAACCTCACCAGCCTGCAAAATCGAGACGAAACGTTTGCTGTTAATCTTCATCTAGAGACTTTGTAATTTGGAGAAGGCTTAATTAAGATTGTTGGTGGCCAGATCGTTGTGGAAATTCGAGTCGGAATGGAGGGATGTGTCGAAGTGGTTCTGATGATTATTCTCATGAAGTGGCATTCTTGGCTGGGGTGATGGAAATGCGGATACAATCTTCGATGATGGGGATGGTAGTTTTGAGAGATGAATAAGGATGCAATCGATATTGAAAGGTTTCGGAGAAAAATAACATTTTGCTTGTTCGGATACTTTTGGTGTGAGGTATAGCGTGTAATGGACGACATAAATCGTATATGAATATTCAAGAATGGTGTGGCGCTAAGCGGGGTTGGTTGGAACAGTTTATCACTTCCATCGCAAAATGGAATGGAAGTATTTCTCATTCTGCGAAAGAGGAAACGACAACGGTGGGAGGAGAAGGAGTAAACGTAATGATCAGATGGTTATGGGATCCAATGACGCATGTATACTTGCCATGTCTCGACACTGGATGTTTCGAGTCCACACTCAATTCTCCAGCTTGTTTCTGGATCTTTAAACTGCGTGCTTGGTCTTGTCTCAGTTTTCTTATTAGTGATGCACTTGGAATTCCCCAAGAAGACGGGATCGCGAATCACATCAGCCGGTGCTTCCATTGATATGTCACCTTTTTTTTTTCTGCAACTATTAACCTTACTCTCTCGCTTATTTCTCTGCATCTTGACGCTGCTTCTATCATACGCCGCGAGTTGAATTTCTTGCCACCATCGATCGACCTCGCTCTCTCTTTTGGCATGTTCTAATCTTTGTTCGTGCTAAATACATGTACTCACATTATTCTGCGCCTTCGACTGATTTTGAAATGTAGGAATTAAAAGGTTTGTTCGGTATTTCAAGATAGGTCGATGAGATAGCGGGAAACGTAAATGGGGTCTACCGCTAGATCGCGAGCTCGACGATTTCGCGATGAAATAAAACTCCGAACATCCAATGACCTGATGGGCGCGGTGATTGTCAAGTTAGATCTAGAGCACCAAAAAGATTGAACTTTACCTGCTTACTTCGGATCGCGAAATAGGACTTGGTTTTTATCCAGTTTGAAACACAAAAAATTGTTCAAAGGCCCTGGATTATCTCATTGGGTCTGCGGATATTCCCCCTGCAGGGGCAGGCTAGATGTTTTTTCTAGATATACGACGTAATCAAATTGTAAACAAAAAAGGAACTTAAAGATATTTCCCGATAACTTATATTTGATCTACCTGAATTAGATGCAAATTTCATCTACAATCGTGAATTGTGATTGCTTACGAACCTCCAAGTCATATCTTTCCATCAGGCTACACTCTCAAACATATTGTTTTCTTTAATCATATTTCTGGTTTTTTTTATTCATGGCAGCAGAGTCTTCAACATTTAATATGCATGCTTTCCATACGTATGAAAATGCTTTCAAGCCTTCGGTCAGGCTAGGTAATACTATCGGCTGTTCACCCCTATGTATGCAAAATAGGTAGAAAGAAGACTGATAGACGAGGTCGAAACTCTCCGTTCTATTGGTAGCTCAAAGTCCTCCCATATTTTCAGCTCTATCTACCCAGGCGTAAAGACTTTATCCTACACTTTACGCAATTGATACACCTCTGTTGTACGTCCACGAATATATGCCCTTCTTTTTGTAGATCGAAACTTGAAGTTGCGTATTATAAAGACAAATATTATTGTCAGAACTTCATTCATCTCGCCGAATACCACGGCGTGAACCTAGCACCTAATTTGGACTTCGATGTTCGTTTGCACCAAATACGCGGTGATTTCTCTCTGATTTGGAACACAGCTTGACTCTCAAACTAGACCATCGTCTTTCTACTTAGAACTACGATTATTGGAAAAATACCTGTCCCTGTTGTCTTAAGTAGCGGTTTAGAAATCAGATGTAAGTCTCAACAATCGAATTCTTGAAATTCTGCTTCCTACTATCAAACCTGATGACTTTGAACCCTGCACGCCAGTACCACCCGTTTTTCTAGCCTGCCTTTCAGGTTTTCTATTTTTGAACTTCGAAAATTCAACTTCCCAATCGAGCTTATTCCAGTAACTCGAGTTTCCTTTGAAGACATTCATGGGCACTGAAACGACTCTGGAATCGTATAAATTTGGGCCAACGCCTGCATGATTTCAAGACATCTGTCCTCGCCATTACAGCAAATCACCAATCTACCATTCGAATGTATCTCTTCCTTCGCCTACAATCCATGGGCTCGAAGTATCGAGGCATTGGGATTGGATCATCTGTAGGCTAGCTAAAACCGACAGATAGAGCAGCACTCCGGGGAAGATATGCAAATTATTGCTCTAAAGGATAGCATTGAAAGGGTGGCTCGTCTCTTGTCTTCCACAAGTGTGGAGATGACTGGGGGAATTAGAAACAAGGTTACCGCAATTTGGGACAGCTACAATACTTGGTACCGGGGAAATGGGCGGCGATTTAAACTATCAATTTCGTTGGCCTAGCCAGCATGAGAAATGCTTGATTTCGATGTCTCGGCTATCGAGTCGTCGAAGATGGAGGGCACTTTCGACATGCACAACAACTATGACTTCGATCCCTCACAGCATGATGGATGAGTGAAGAGAAGTTTAAGGAATTAGAATTTCAAACCTAATGTGCGGCTTAAGATTGATTCATGATTCAGGGATAATGTACAGTTCCAAACTGCCGTTTGGTTCACGAACGACTTGTAATTCGTATTTGTACGACTCAAGAACATTCATGATTCGAAGATGATTCATAATCAAAATTTACCGTACAACCCAGAATGAATCATGATTCAGAGATGATTTGTAATTCAGATCGTACCTCTTTATATATAAAAAAAAGCCGTACATACATACACCATCATGAATATGCCGTATGATGTTTTGTTCCGTGATTCTAAGAGTACGGCATTTAAATATCAACTCTTACTGTTTCATCTGATATATGATTATATAATCTTGATATCAATGGGAGCCGCACACAGTCGCATATACATCGTAAAATGTTCTGTTCGTTGATTTGGAAAGGTACGGTATTCGAAATTCATCCCTTACCTTCTCGTCCGATGTGTACATTTCTACCCATACATATTTATTCACTCAATAGCGGCATGAATGGGTGAACGCGCGAGTGAGCGAATCTTAATGACTTTTATTTAGATAATTGAAATACGGTCAGTACAGCAATTTTCACTACGGTGTGACGCTAAGTGAATTGCAATACATTCATCTCGTCGTCAAAGGCTCTAAATACCTAGCCCCTCCCCCCAACCACTCTCCTTCTTTTTTTCTCTTTCTCTTGTAAACAACTTCCAAACAAAATTTACTACATAAACATCGAGATCCTCCACCGAACGAGACCTTCCACAAAACATCTTCTCTTCATCAGCCATCAACACTTGAGCTGTTTGATCTCTGCTAGATTACTGGCAGTTGTTTGCATTCAATGCCTTCCATCAAAAAACTTCTGCGCAGCGTGGCATCCAAATTCAAATCCAGAGTCTCAAATTTGATACAAAAAAACCCTCCGCCTTCGATTTCCGATGTCACCATGGTCAATGATTCCTCACATTTTGATCATTGCTTCCCTCCAACTCCAAAGTCTACCCCAGCTATAGTTGACTCCGACTCTTTTGATGGCCGCGACAATAAACCCGCACTTGACGACACATCAAAAAGCCCCTCTCTGTCGCCTCTAACATCGATTGTTCCCGAACCTTCTGATGACACTTTAGAAGGCTTACGACAATGTGCAGAGTTTATCAATTCTGCGCCCACCAGTTTGTCACCTGCTCCGGAGTCGATAAAATCTTCCAGCTCCAAGGTCCCTCGGGGTTCAGGTTCAACCTGCGACTGGGACGACCAAGAGCCGTTTGTGACATATAAGCATAAGATCATTCAGCTATGTCATGACCTTGATCTCGGTGAGCCCTCGAAAATTGAGCGTATGAGAGGAGGTAGTTTCAATAGAGTCGTCTGTCTTTCACTTCCTTCTAAAGACAATCAGGACTATGTTCTTCGTATTCCTCGAAACCTTGATACGAATGAAAGTACGAGAGATCAGGTTGCAATCCTACATTATCTCGCCCCATTGATGCCGGTTCCCGCTGTTGTGGCCTTTGATTCCACCTCAGACAATGTCATTGGTCGTCCATACATCCTTCAAGGGAAGCTCAAGGGAGTAAACGCTGGATCAGTTTATTACGACTTGCCTTCCGATGAGAAAAAGCAATTCGTCAAGTTGATTGCTGATATCATTAAGAAGTTGAATAATTTGAAGATCGATCGACCAGGACAACTTGTTGCAGGTCCTTCCATTCCTTCTATCTCTCATGAGCCACTCACCATCCCAACCGATATTGAAGTCACCGGCTACCGCTTCAGCCCGCATGATGCATTAGAAGTCATGTCCAGCCAGAAAAATCAACCACTCTCATCACTTTTGGCCTCAATCTTTGAAGAACGCAAAACAGTCGACGAGGACTTTATGGATATCCAGTGGAACAAGCTCTTGAAGATCACAGATGAAATGAAAACTGCCGGATTGTTCTCAAATAACGACACCGATTGTGTTGTATGGCATTGGGATCTTACATTTCGGAACATCATGGTTGAAAAGCAATCAAATGGGCAATGGACTTTGACTGGTGTGCTGGATTGGGATGGGCTTTTGTCTGCACCATCCGTTATGACTAGAGCTCCACCTGTCTGGCTATGGATTGAAGAAAACGACCGCTCAAGCAAATGGCATGAGGGTCTAGGCAACAATGATATTCAGCCAGCTCGGGAACTCACCATGGAAGAACTTGTCCTTAAAGCTTCTTTTGAGCAAATTTTGCAACGCGCAGACCAGAATTATATGGCTGATGCTTATGGCCGAGGTGTATGGATTCGACGACTTGTCAAGTTTGCTCTTGAGGGGTTTGGTCAAAGCAGTCATTACATTATGTTGCAAGTGTTAGTCCGCGAATGGGAAGCCTACTATCAGTCTTTAGAGCTTGGATCGGATGGTTTAGATGATGATGAGAAGCTTGAATCTTCCAGTGTCACACGTGGCTCAAATAACTCCAATCAATCAAGCGCTTCGTCAACCTATGAATATGGACAGGAGGCATTTGAAACATACAAGTTGAAAGTCGCCCAACTTTGTCAGAACATCGGATTCGGTTCTCCATCGAATGTTGAGCGAATGGAAGGTGGAAGCTTTAATCGAGTCATCGGACTCACATTTCCGGGACAGTCTGAAGATCGAAATTTTGTTCTCCGAATTCCACGCGTGCCATTTGAAGATTATGAATTACATAAATTACGCGACCAGGTTGCCACACTATTGTTTCTTAAACAATTCGATTTTCTCTGTGTGCCAACCATTGAAGCTATCGATTCTACTGTGGACAATGCCATTGCATCTCAGTACGTTCTGCAAAAGAAAATCACCGGAAAACCTCTCGGGGATGTTTTCCCCACTCTTCCGCTTGCTGGAAAGCTTGAACTCACAACTCTCGTGGCTCGACTCTTGATTAAAATGGAGGATATCACCTTTGAAGACCCCGGTGTACTTTCTGGTGCGCAGCCTTTGCCATGGGTTTCCACATCTGTTCATCAATCGAGTTCACCGCCAGTAATATCAGGCTTTCGTTTAAACCCCAAGACAGTCGGTCCACCCCTCCGAAAGCAAGGTCTTGAATCTTTGCTCCTCAACCTCATCAGCGAGCGGAAGAAAGATGACATCATGTGCGACAATATAGTCTCAATATGGAACCAGGCTCTAGATGTTTTAAAGCAGATGGAGCAGATTGGCTTCTTCAAGGATTCTGATTCGACAAATATCTTGTGGAATTGGGATATCTGCTCGCGACATATCTTCATTGAAAGAGATGATTCTCTAACCCCCGCTGTCCCTTGTTCAGGTTCGACATCAGATGCCACACAGCCACCCAGCCCTGATAATTTGGGTGATCACAATACTGAAAGTGAGCCTGATATTAACGATGAAGCTTCTCAAGATCCTGATAGCCAAACTCAAGCTACAAGTGGGGGGTGGAAAGTTACTGGAATCATCGACTGGGATGATGTCATGTCAGTCCCACGTGTCATTACTAGAATCCCAAGAACCTGGCTCTGGTTTGACGATTATGAACGCACTACATGTTGGAATGGAGTCCGCGAAACTCCTCCTCAACGACCACTCACCGAGGATGAACTTGCAATCAAGAATCATTTTGATCAGATCATGCAACAAGCTGATCCCAACTATATGAACGATACCTACTTTAGAGGTGTTTGGATTCGCCGATTGTTCGGCTTTACGGAAACTGGATTTCATGATAGCCAACATCTTAAAGATTTCCAAAAATATATGAGAGAATGGAAAAATTACTTCGATGGTCATGTCTTAATGAAACCCGATAGATATGGAGCTGATTGCGAGTCGGACAACGAATCGGAGTAATTGTGAGCGAGATTTCAGCTGGGGACTAGGATGGCATGGTGTATGGAATGTATGCAGGTAGATAATAGTACTCTCAAGGCAAAATAGGTGCCTCCGAAGACTGGAATGGTGGCATGATGTGTGGAATGTATGTAGATAGATAACGATACCTGAAAGGCAGGAGAAGTGCCTCTCCAATAGATTAGAAATTTACTAGAATATGTCTCACCAACCATTCTGCAAACTGTGAAATAAATGCGAACTATACAATAAAGGTCTATAGAGCGTTTGACCATACCATGTAATAATCGATGATTTATCATTACGGTAAAGTCCCCTTTTTCTATTACCCTAACATGCAAACTGGAAAGTCGAAAATTATACTTTGATGCCTACCTAGTGACCAAATTACCGAGATTTCCATAAGCGAAAAAAGTAGAAAGATCAATTGAAAAATAGGTAGTTTCTATAATCCAATCACTTTCGTCAAACATGTATCAGGTATCATTTCGGGCAATGCATTGAAGGAAAGAAGTGTATGTTTCTCTCACTATTATGCTATTCTTTCCTTTTTAATTCTTCTCTGGAAAAGTGGTAGGGTTGACTTGGATTGAAATTATTTTACTGTAATTCATCAATTCAAAGACTCGTCCAGGTCAATCAAGAAATTACAACATAATAATAATCTGGCATCCATCTCAAGTAAATTAGACAAGTTTTATCTTTATATTGCAGGGGCTATACTCTTGTGCTAGTCAAGATTCAACGGTAAAATGTAGATGACTGTTGTTCGACTTTCAGGTTCTATAAGTAACCCTCAAAAATCACATGTATAAATACTTGTAATCGTCTCAAATAAGTACCACAATACCATTTGAGAAAGAGTGTCCTGTGAAATGATAAAGTGGAAGCATATGTGTCTCAGAAGGCGGCAATTCAAATTTCTCTAATTCACACTTGGTGATAGTGTCTGTGACTGCTAAGGAGCTCTTCCGTTTAATCCGAGCTAACCCAAGGCCTCTTTTCTGCTGCATTTGTATTTCAAGAAGAATATACTAGTTATTGATACAAAATGAAATTGAAAATTTGAAAGAGTTTTGGTTTTGAATGATGAAAATGCTCGGCAAGTAGAAAGTATGAATTACAAAGTGCCCGATTGTCTAAGCATCGAAACAATTCCGCCTGAAGAAATCAAGGTGCTCAATATGCACGTAATATTTCTTACTTCCTACATCTCCACGATGCCTAGTATATTGCCACTTACGAAGTAAGTTCTTTTGGTCTCCCCCGTCTCTTGAATTCATTCAAAAGCCTGGAAATTACCCTTGGGGCGATTATATTAGTTTCTTACCTACAGTATCATCCCCGTCCGATTACGTTGTGATCACAATGAAAGTTTCTCGCAGTAATTATTGGGTAGTCTATGGCTCATTGCCTTATTAAGGCTGGTCCACTGGTGGTCTATCTCTCTTGATTAAAAAAACATGTAATCTGACATATGCATATGACCCTCGAGGCGTCGGTCACATGAATAAAAAAGTCTGCGTCAGGAGGGTCTAATTGATTATTTTCTAAATTTAATAAAATTGCATACTTTTTTATATGTTTTCATTTTATTTTTAATACTAAATAATTTATAAGAAAGTTATAACTATAAAAAATAAATCAAGTTGAAGTTTTATTAATTCTTTATTGATTTGTATAGTTTTTATTATAAAGAAATTTAAAAATAAAAAGTCATACATAGAATTATAAACTTACAAAGTTTTATAAATTATTAGCCTCGTTAACAAATCTAATCTTTTCATTTCTTATGTTTAAAATTATATGTTTGTTCTATTTTGAATTGAATAATATTAAAACTTTTTATTATAAAGTTTATATATATTAGATACTATAATTCAATTTCCAAACGATTTGAAAGAGATTTGAGAAATATTAAAATTTTGAGTTGATTGAAATCAAGATTTTGAATCTACATCAGTAACGATTAGAGCTAGGAGAGAGTAAGAGAATAAAGCAAAGAATAAATGTGAATCTTTCAATCTAGAGGATTCTAAATCATATATTAGATTATATATAACTTTAATGATTGTTAATGTATGAACACTAATAGTCCCGATCGTAGTGAATAGCTTCAATTCAGTAGCTACTGTATTGCAAGTCCTAAGCGGAAGCGAAAGATACTACCTCTTTCCGTAGCTTCTATATAAGGCCTACGATTTCCTATACATAGCTAGCTCTTTAGATAGAATATAGTTAGACATTTAGGACCTACGAATACGTGGGTGCTACGTCTTCTGAAAGGACCAGAAATGGGTCGATGTACACACTAGACTAGTTTCACGTCAACATCATGTGTGTAGGTCTTCTTTCTGGGTTTATGCTCATATACATAATTCCCTCGGATTATCTTAACGATTTCAGTGTTTACAAATGATTCAAATGATAGTTGAACGGGAAATTTTGTCCTCAAGATTCCGAGAATATCGTTACTGATCTATTATCTCTTATTGTGGAAATTGTCAGTGAGAACAATAGGCTAGAGTATAAGGGCATTCAGAGGTTGATTGTATTGAGTTGTACTAGCTAGTTACGAGGGTAAGAGTTCTTGCTAATACTAAATGAGGCTAGCCATCCCACACCCCACCCCTCCTCTAGCACCACAAGAACCATACCTTTTGACCGAAAGACCCGATAACTAAAGCTACTCCAATGTTTGAAAGATCCTGAATATACGGACTAATGGACATCCTGATGTTGATACTTGACACCAAATCTACATCCTCTCCTTGTCAATAGTGATCCCCGAAAATTCTTAGTATTAGATCAATATACATCCACCGCCTGGGATATTGAACGTTGACTAATCGCATACAAGATTCTATCTCTGCAACGTCAGAAGTTAGTAATTGTCTATCAAAAAGGTTTTTTTTTGAGAAGGAACCAAAGGCTCAAATTGCGCAGTGACTAGACGACACTGCACAGAAAGAGATACTCGTATATGCTTCGGGCAGTCCCGAAAGCATAGAATAAAAGAACTCATTGACATACTTTAAGTCTCTGATTAGCGTTCTTTGGCTTAGATTTCTTGTCCTTGTCTTTGCCGTTCTTATTACTTCCAGCGTTCTCTTTATCTTTTGCTCTCTTTTCAGCAGTTTCCTTCGCTAGCAACTCCTCTTTGTCGGCTGTGGCAGCACAACGCTCACAGCGCTGATTGCCTAGAAGATATGGTAATCTGCAGCCCTCTTCCTTACAGTAGGTCATGTGAGCCGAGCAATAAGGCCTTGAGTTTGGGCCAGGGGTATAGGCTCGACGACAATTACCTTTTGACTTCTTAGGGCAATGATGGATTGTGGAATCTTTGGTAACCATGATGAACGCAGGTTATAGTCTCGAGGGTGTGTGTGTGTGTTGTTTTGTATATGACCCAGAAAATCTAGTAAGGAACAGGAAGTAGAGTGGCTCTATGAGTAGGAGTATGTCTATTGTCTTGATTTCCTGAGAACTAGGTAAATATCTTGAGTTTTGTAGAGAATTACTGGAGAACTATTGAAAAGGTAAGTTGTGAAAGTAGATGGTTTTATCAATCTTAGAATTAACAGATTTAGAAAAATTCAGGAAGACCTAGCTAGAGCTTATAAGTTGCGGGAATGTTCCCATTTACCCCTCTAGCTACATCGTTACGGTTGATTCTCCTGTAAATAGAACCGTACAACTACGGTAAAATTGTAATGATTAAGTGGATTACTTTACCGCATGTGTGAATGTCGACTTGGTGACAGAATTTGAGTAGCGCTGTTCAGCGCACTATCATTGCTAACAAATGACAGATTTCATTCTTCAATATGGTATCGTGAGCCTTTAGTACATCTTCTCAAAAATCTAGTCATCGGTGCTGATGAAGGCATGCATTTCTCAATGGCGTCATTCTTGTTCATGATTTGGTACGGAAGAACAGATAATCATAGCTGCTCCTTTTAGCGTGGTTCAATCTTCCCTCAATAATCATGCCTATAATAACAACTGCCGTAGCTTGTACTTTCCACACTTGTTCCTTGCTTGTACGGCATGAGCCGTTGATATCATCTGAACTCTCCCCTAATTCAATTCTCGCTTAATCAATCACATCATTACCTTAATCTTAATACAACAATTTAAGATTGCTACTGCTACTGCTACTGCCATCTGTGATTATGATTCTTATCAACCGTACGGTAATAAACTCGAGATGTCTTTGGTGTCTATATATCGTCCCCGGAGGCTGCTTCTCCCTCTTCTCTCCATCGTAAACTCGAAGTCATCAACTACCCATCAGAATTCTTTATTGACGAAACTCACCTTCTTCCATCAACTTAGCATCCACCTTCAAGAAATAATTCCCAAAGACGCGATTTACACACAATCATACACCAAATCGACCGCTTTCCAACATCACTAGAAATTCATCATGCCTGCCGGACGTTCCGCCAAGACTCACCACTGCCCCGGTATGAAGACGATGACGGGTAATTGTCGTATGGAGGGCAAGGCACCAAACACGGGACTCAAGTACTGCCTCACTCACCAATACTATTGCCCCGATTGCGCTGCTAGTCCAGTCAAGAAGGACTTCACAATGCTTCGCGCTTCCGATCCCTGTAACGGATGTGGATATAAACACCCAGATCACAAGGACAATGTGAAAGCTCGTCAGGATGCCGAGAAGAAGGCAAAGGAGACTGCCGCAAAGGCAAAGATCGAGGATGGTAAGGCCAAGGTTGCCGCTCAGAAGGCAACTGCGGCTGCCCGGAAAACTGGCAGATAGGACATAGTCTGGTAGAGTGGAGGCGATCATGTTTCCCCTGTTTGTAAAGACCATCATAGTTGGGATTTTGAGCATTTATTGTTGCTTCATATTCGATATGAACGACTCGGCAAATCAGTGTTTCGCAATCTAGACAAACAGTCAAATGGTACCATTCAACTACATTCAGGACAATGTTTTTTTGTGGCAACCCACTCGGATCGACCACCAACACTTTATCGATTTCCTCTTCGTTTCATTGCTAGTGTTTGGATATGGATATGGCAGCCCATGTATTTATGAACTCATGACTTACGACATTATGATTTATGAACGGATTTCTGGGTATAAGCATTTGTTGGACATGAAGGAGTCTTTTCGTTAAAGGAGTATGGGTGTGAGTAGGGGATATCGGGCATATTTCCTGGGATATTAGAAAGTCGATTCAGCTAATTGATCTGCTGTTCTTACATCTTGTTACTGAAGCTACATTTTATTGTGATATAATGTGTTGTGAAATCTTATGTGATTTTTGTAGATACTAAATGGATAAAATCCAAAGTTCGGCTTTTTAGAACCTCCAGTAACTCCACGTGTTCCCGGAAAATGATATGACTTGTGGATTTTTGGAAGGATGCCTGCTATACACAATCTACTTAAATGATATGGAGGAATGAATTTTCTGAGAATTGACAGAGGATCACAATCATTGACAAACGAGCTAGCAGGAGCACCCAGTATCTAATTAGACGATATGACCGACTAAATCATAATACCCTTAAAAAATGGAACAGTAATAGAATAAGTCAACTACCCCACTTTCCGACCACCCCCTCTTTTCGACCACCTCAAAAACCACACCGCTTTGAGTAATTATAAAATTTATACTTTGAATAACTCAACAATGCTTTAATCAATTGATTTGAAATTTTGATATTATTATAATTGTGATATGAAGAATAGATATACCGAAGAAGATATCGCAGAGGCTCTTAGAGCGATTACAAATGGAGCAAGCATACGAAGAGCTAGCTTGGATTATGGTGTTCCACGTACCACACTTCACGATCGAATATATGGTGGAGTTTCGCATCAAAAAGGCGCACAAATACTTCAAAAGTTATCTCCAATTCAGGAGAATCGACTAGCAGAATGGATATTAGTACAGGAAGCTCTTGGTACTAGCCCTACACATCGTCAAATCAGAGAGATGGCAGAGCACCTCCTTATTGTACGAGGGGAGGATCCCTCACTTGGAAAGAAATGGATACATAGCTTTTTTCGAAGGCATCCTAATATTGGAACTAAGAAGCAACATCAAATCGATTCTGCACGAGTTTCAGGTGCTACATCTGATATTATTAAGAAGTGGTTCCGGAACCTCGCAATCCCTGAAATCAAGGCTATTAAGCCGGCCAACAGATGGAATATGGATGAAGCAGGTATAATGGAGGGTCAGGGTCTTAATGGACTAGTAGTAGGAAGCACTGATCGAAGATTTATTCAAAAAAAGCAACCTGGATCTCGAATTTGGACCTCTTTTATAGAATGCATTTCAGCCAATGGAAAAAGCATTACTCCCCTTGTAATATATAAGGGAAAATCAGTTCAACAACAATGGTTTCCAACAGATTTGACTCTATTCAAGGGTTGGAACTTTACCGCTACAGAAAATGGATGGACTACAGATGCTACAGCTTTAGAATGGCTGAAAAAGATCTATATCCCTCAAACTACCCCTATTCAGCCGGAAAATTCAAGACTCCTCATTTTGGACGGACACGGAAGCCATGAAACTACAGCATTTATGTTAGAATGCTTTAATAACAACATATATCTCTTACTTCTCCCACCACATACGTCACACGTACTACAACCACTCGATTTATCTGTGTTCTCACCCCTAAAAAGTGCATATCGAATCGAACTTAATAAATTAAGTCTATCATCCGATTCCTCACCAATTGGAAAGCGCAATTTCCTTTCTTGCTATCAGAAGGCTAGAATAGAAGGTTTAACTATTCAAAATATCAAGTCTGGGTGGCAAGCTAGTGGTCTTTGGCCCAAAAATATGGCTAAACCTCTTATGAGTCGACTTTTGCTTGAAAATAGCAATAGAGAGGTTTTATCACTTAATCCTGAATCTGATGATGATCCTATTCTTCAATGGAATATATATTCATCGTTTATTCAATGGAAAACCCCTCAAAAAGGAGCCGATATCAGAAAATATAGAGATATAATGATTCAAGAGAAGGAGATCGATTTGCCAACACGAAGATTACTATTTCGCAAGATTATAAAAGGATTCGATGCTAAGGATTATGAACTCTTAGAGGCAGAGAATAAGATTAGAAAGCTAGAATATCAATTAGATGAAGCATTACCTAGAAAAAGGCGAAAGGTTGTGGTATCTCCAAATTCGAAGTTCGCAGGGATTAGAGCTATAAGGCGTACACAAATTGAAGCTGGAGATCGTGAAGATGAGGTAGATGATAGCTCTAGTGCTATAGAAAGTGATTCTACAGGCGATTTCATTGAAGTTCAATAGTTATTGAGTTATTAAAGTTTTAAGTGTAGATAATATGAATTTTTTAGGTGGTCGGAAACAGGGGGTGGTCGGAAAGTGGGGTAGTTGACTTAAGCGGTAAATTACTCTGATGACACTAAAAGTGAATTTGTTTACCCTCACGCACGCCACCAAGATTTTATGACAGCCAGATTCTATAGTTTTAGATTAAACTATAATGTCTCAATCGGAATTTTTGATATTAAAATTAAAATCTAAAATATGAAATTGCAACTGTTACTTAAAAGACAATCAACCATAATAGAGAATAGTGCTAGAATATATATTTGAAAGCTAGGAATGAGGGTTGAAAGGTAAAGTCCAGGATTAGAAATATACAATCTATAAAATCTATAGAATCTAGATTTAATAGACTAGTATCAAGTGGCATGAGAGTGATCTTCCGGACTTTTAGTAACACGAGAGTAATTCACATGGAATAAAAAGCACTCAGAAAGAAAAAACTAATTACAAACAAAACGACGACGAGACACCATCGAGATCCTTCATCAAGACCAAGATTTTTACTAACTCCCGACTAGTGTCTTTAGGGCGCTTGGAAACCAATCATTCAAAATTTGCATCTAATAAGAGCTAACCATCAACAGTAGGAATATCCTCAAATTATTATTTAATTAAACAAATTGAAAGAACGACCTCGTCTACTTGCAACCAATCAACTTGTAAGCGAGACTTGAGCTTCCAAGAACATTACGCAATAATTGCTCATCATAAAAGCCCACGGCAAAGTTCCTCACAAGATCCTAATCTAGTCATCTCGACTGTAATCAATATGAACGCTGGCTCTCATTAATCAATATTTACAAGCACATTATACACGACTACTCTATACACACTTAACATCCTTCCCAATACCCGCGCCAAGCCTTCCAGTATACAAAAAGAACAAAGTATCTACCCCGCATTCAATATTAACATCTCCCGATTCCTCAGTTCAGAGCTCCGTAATCGTGTGTCCTACTCCACAAATAGCTTCCAGCTGAGGCTTACTAAAATCAAATCTCGACCAGTTCCTATCCATAAGAGCCGTTCCCGCTGCAGGGTTTCCCCCACTTGAACCCGCTTTCTCCAGTATAATAAATCTTAAACCTACTTCTGTGACTGTTACTGCTATACTAATAATGATTAGGATAATGACGATCCATGTGATTGTGCTCATTTTTGTATCTGCGATACTGTCACTCAGAACTTCTGCTAAGTCCAAGAAAACTCGACAACGCTCATTGAGTGTCGTGATACGGGGACCGATTTCGAGATACTCTCGAATGGCTTCGTAAAGTGGATGTAAAGTGGGTTCGGAGTCCCAAAAGAAACTGGGTACGTCGAGGATATTTGATGCTTGAGAATGTTAGCAAGAACCTAGGCGAAGAACGGACATAATAACTTACAAAGATTGACATCTACCCTACTTTTAAAGAGACGTCCAAGAATCTTGAGAATTTCCGTACGAGACATGCCAAGTTGACCAGTTAAGGCCAAGTGCTTAGGAATATGTTCTGCGCTTAGCATAGTCTGCGACATTCGCTCCTCAAAGAAACTCAATTTCGTACTTTGAGCAATAGCATGACTCATTGCTAGCTTAATCATATGATCACCACTCCTTAAGGTTATCATATCATTAAAGATTCGTGGTCTGTCAACGAAGGAATTGTACTCAAAATGAAGCTCCTCTGTTTCGAGATCTTCTTCCTCTTGAGGCCGGACAACAAGTGATACATCTGTGTTGTGTGCAGCAAATGTCAAGTCTGCAAGAATATCTTTTTCCTGATGCTCAGTGAAATTCCAAAATACCACCACTCCATACGAGAAGACAAACATTTCTGCAAAAGTCTTCGCATCCGGCGCGACTCGATTTGGACTGTCGGCTCTTTTGCCTTGTTCAAAAATATGGGTTTCCTCTCTACCTCTTCGGGCTCCTTCTTCCCTTATGATTCTTTCTTCGTCGGTTTCATTTCGTGGGCTATCTTCTCCTCCCCTTACTCCGTATGTATCCGTATCCTCGAAATAACCTTCATGATAATCTCGATTCTCACTCCTTTCTATCTCTTCATCTAGTACCGCCTTTCCACCTGGACTTTTCAAAACCGGACTACTTCGTACTCTGAATCCTTCTGTACCTGGTAATAAAGGTAGATGGTAAACTGTATAGAGACAATCATCGTATAACTTTGTCTTGGCTCCGTGTCGTTCCTTGACGAATGCAGCCGTGGCCTTTGTTTTATATGCTTGTGCCGTGCAATACGCTGTGACTCTAGCCAATTCGTTTGCTCTCCTTGCTTTGGGTAAACGTTCCGCATAACTCTTTCCTCTGATACCGCCTCTCTTCTTTAATATATCCCTTTCAGCATCCGTCGGAGGTCCTCCACCACCATCGAGTCGCTGTTGGATTCCGGTCCCAAGAATCTCATCCGTTTCTGAATCATCCTTTTCA